CGACTTGGAAGATCTGTGAACACGTTGCAGTCTGGCTTGTGTCATAAGTCACTTGCGGACATGTTGGAGTGTGTGAAGCTTTCACAAATGGCTGGAGGTCGCCACGGGACACACATTTAAGAGGGTGGAGATTAGCATGGAGGGACCAAGACAGTTGCTTTGGAAACATCAATTTTCTTGAAGGTTTTAAGCAGGGCTAAGGTCAAACTACACATTTGCTGTACCCTTTAAAAAATGATGACAACACCTGGGTTTTCAATGCTTCTTATGTCCTGATCTATATTAATAAGTTCTCCATTTTGAACAGCGTGTGGCAAGGACTGGGGCCGTTGGGAACGTGGCCGTGTCTGTCATGTAGAGAAGCAGGTTAATGGGTCAACACCCTGGAACGAAACAAAACCCCTAATTGATCCCGGGTTGACTCCAAGCACTTGACTTGTGAGACACAGCACATCAGAGCAGGCCGCTGTGCTGGAAAACGGCTTTGCTTCCGTCCCTCCACGTCCTGTGGGCTCCGCTGAGCCTTCCCTTTGGAGCCACCTGTCGCTGCTGTGTGTTCCGGCAGACCAGACTTCCAACACTGGGTCTCTGCCAATGGCTGTGTGACTTCTGCCAAGCTACCTGAGCATTTGGAGCCCCAGTTTCTCCACCTGTACAATGGGATTGAGCTCAGCACTCCAGGCCCGAGAGACACTTGTGGGGCTGTAGCAAGATAAGGACCAGGAAGCATGCTGTCAGTCCCCCACCTCTGGACCCAGAGAGGCAAGGTCGCACCGTGATAGTTCCCTCTGGAAATGTGTGCAGATTTGTCTGTCCCTAGAGGAGGTCCAGGAGCAGGTTTGGCTGGAGAGTGTCACGGTGGTGCCAATTAAAGCATGCATGGTGCTCATTCAGAGACAGAATGGGCAGCTAGATAGAATATCAGTGTCCTCAGATTTAGGAGTGTTTGGTGACCCTTGGCTATGTACTCCACTCTAACTGTCTGCCCTCACCATGACCCCACCTGCCTGAGCCTGTGCATGGTCAGAGCTGACCCAGGGCAGGGGCACCAGGGTGGACTCTGGGCAGCTCTGATCAGGCCTTTCTGGTAGCCTTTGTGTGTTTCGTATCCTGCATCTTGGGGTCGTCAAGATACGGAGAGACATGCCCTGTGGCTTGGTTTAGGTGGAGGGCAGAGTGATCAAGAGTGGAGTCCTGAGAGTAGACTGTCACTTGGAAACTCGTGTCCCTGCTTCCTGGTTGTGGGGCCTTGAGCAAGGAGTTTCGCCCTGCTAAGCCTCGGTTCCTGCCTCTGCACGACGGGCATGAGGCTGAGCACGATGTTGCTTCAGAGGATAGTTAGGGGGATGGGACGAGATACTGCATTTAAAACCTGTAGCACAGAGCTTGGCCCACACTAAATACTCAAATATATACAATACTGTCTATCGTCAGCTGCTGCTACTGAGCAGGGTCTGGGAGAGTGAAGTGAAGCCCTCCAGTGCTGGCAGCGAGAGGCCTCCGGCTTGAGCCTCTGCACTCTGGGGAATCTTGGGAGCCTCACCCGAGTGCCCGGAGACACTGTCTGGGCAAACGTCTTTTGGGGAAGCCCGTGCACGTCTGTGCGCAAGGACACAGGCTGGAGGAGGGGCTTTCAGGGCCTGAGAGGTGTGTCATCTGCTGCTATGCAGGGAGCTCTTCCCGTCGCTCCCCTGGCCGGCTGCCGGCTGAGGGCGGGGAGGGAGCCATTGCAGAGTCCCATGAGGATGAAGGGTAAGAGGGTGGCCCATGTGCAAAGGGAGGCCAACCCTGCCTGCCTAGGTGACGGGGACAGGCCCTTTCTCATTTTATGGAGGAGGAGTGCCTTGGGTCCCTGTGCTCCCATCGCAGTCAAAACCTGCTTCCCAGGTCCCCTCTCCTGACCAAGGTCTGCAGCCTCCCTGGGGCCTGTGTCTCTCACGCAGCCGGTGGACACAGTGAGAATCCGCTTAAAGAAGGGACAGCCAGGTGTCCCGGCATCTGCATGGGTCTGTGCACAGTTTCCCAGCTGTGTCTGCTTCTGTGGGTGGAGCCTGATGCCACATCTCAGCAACTGAGCCACTTGGAGGTCACACACACACGTGCAAGCACATGCATGCACCCAATGCATTCCCAGGCCAGGGAGGTGATGCAAATGAGCCTAGTGTGGGACAGTGGCGGGAGGGGTCTGTGATGACCTGGAAACCGCATGACTACACCAAAGGGACAGAATTTTCTAATTTTAGAGACACTTCCGCTGGGTGCAGTCTGCCCATGGCCTGCTCACCCTATTTGGCAGTGGCAATGATCCATCTCTGCTCCAAAACCATTTGTGGTGGGGGCTAGACATCAGGGTGGGGCAGCAGTGGCCCACGGAGCTGTGGGGTGTCCTAAGGGGGCTCATCCAAAGGGGCTGGGAGAGGAGGAGGAGCCAGCTCAGTGCAGCACCTCCAGGTCCTTGTGGAGGCACCTGGGGCCTGGTGCCTTTAGCACTTCCCACAGCCCTGCGCCCGTCTTCAGGGCGTCCAGGGAGAAGGCTCTTAGGAGCTGCCTCGTACCTGCAGGTGACACTCTGGGCACCCTTAGGTCACATGCCTCCCTACCTTTTGGAGAACCCAAATGCCCTGCCATGATGAAGGGGCCACCCTCGATCCCCTCGCCAGGGTTTCTGCAAAGTCAGGGCCTCTGTTTCAAGTCTTATTTCCTTCTTAGCAGCAGCGCACCTGTAAATCAAGCCTGAACTTCTCAACGGAGGATTTCAACAAAAAAGAGGCTTAGGAGAATAAGGAATTTGCAAATCTTATGCACTGGACACAGGCCAAGAGTTCGGTGATGCCGGAAGAAACTTGAGATTTGCCCAAGAGCACCACAGCCCCCTCTGTTGCTTCCCACTCACTCCCAGCACTTTAGAAAGCCCCAGCAAGATTATTTGAAAGCCTGGCCATTAGAAGGCAACTCGTGGCCTATTTTTAGCCTGGATCTTATATGAAAACCAAGAGGGAGGTCCGTCCTCTGCATTAACAGCAACTCTTTGCACAGATAAAGGTTTGGTTAAGAGGAACATTATGAACATGAGTGTGTGTGTGTGTGTGTGTGTGTGTGTGTGTGTGTGTGTGTGTGTGTGTCGGGGGAGGGGGCCGCACATCCTTCCGCTCTCTGAGATAAATCAGATTCTTAAACTATCTTTGGCTAATCCATTAGAAGGATGGAGACATACATCTTGAAACAGCTTCCTGACAGGAGGCAGGCCTCAGCTCTGGGTGGACAGTGGCTGGTGAAACAGATGCTAGGATTCTTGGCATTTTATGTATTTGGAAACCAAGACCAGGGGGGAGCAGGGTGGCCTCAGATCAACAGTGGTAGACCAGGACTCTAAGCCCAGATACGGAAACCTATTTAGGGTGACCTTCCCCTTCCCAGGATGGGCTGCTGGGGACCTCGCTGGCCACTCCCTTATGCATAGGTGACATGTGGTCTGAGAGAGGCTGGGGCTGGCTCCTCTACCAGCTCACTCACTCAGAGCCTCTGCAGAGCAGTGCTGGACCCCTTCCAGCTGCCCGATGGGCAGGGCTTCCTACCCTGGAAGCAGGGAGGGCTTTGGCCAGAGCCCTGGCCTTTGCGAAAATCAAGGCACCAGGGTTCCACACCGGCTGTCCCTCTGACATGCGGCATGACCTTGCACAATGTCACCACCCCTGCTTGAGCTCAGGTGCTCCATCTTGTAACAGGAGGGGTGGAATTAGACCACCCAGCAGCCCTTCCTGCTCTAACTCATGGCCCTAGATACTGAAGGAGCCTACTGGCCACACATGGTGAACACATGAGCTCCCAAAATGACCCAGGTCCTCACTGAGCTCTGGAGTGTGTCATGGCGGCTTCTGCCTGGAGGTTTTCACCCGCGGTTCTACTTAGCTATGCTGAATTCCTGATGTCCTTGATTTGTCAAAATACCTGGCCAACAGGCCCAGCATCTCCACCCTACAGATCAGAAAGCATAGTCCTGGGGGACCAGGTGGCTCCCCAAGGTCACACACGGGGCAAGTGACAAGGCTGGGGCTGGAACCAGCATGACTTGAATCTGAGCTGGGAGACCTTTCCCATTCGGCCAGATGCAGAAGTAAGCTTTTGCCCAATGATGGGGAAAGGCTGGGATAGGGAGCGTGTGTCTCTTCTTTGTCCCCCAGAGACGACGGGACCCGGAGCTAGGGGCTCAGAGCACTACCTGCTCACTTCCCCAACACAGATCCTGGCCCTGTGGGGAACACGGGGCCAGGGTTAGTCTCCCTGGGGCAGTGGGCCCAGGATCGCCGTCTGCTCTGCTCTAACCCTCTGTCTTCCTGGCCAGTTGGGCAGCCCTGTGATCAGCTGGGGGAGGGAGAGGACTCCAGCAAGGGGACGCTCTCTGCCCCTGAGCCCACGGTGCGGTGCGTACCAGCAGTCAGGCCACAGACAGGGCGCCTGGGTTCCTCCAGGGTATTCTGTGAATGGGGCCCAGGGTGGCCCGGAGGGGAGCCGGCGACCTCCGTGTCCAGGCTAGCTCAGCCCGTCCCCCGGGGCAGCTCGCTGGGAATTCTCTCTCCGTGCGATCGGGCTGGGTTTGAGTAAAGCGGGGCAGGCTCAGTGGACCATTTCCATAGTGTGCAGCAGGAACTCGAGCCCCACATTTGCCTTCACCTTCCAGCCCACGTCCTTCTCGGGACTGAGTGGGGCAGACCCCTTTGACTCATTTCAGAGACGCGGACCCTGAGGCTTCCCAAGGTCACAGGGAGGGTGAGTCGCCAAGCAGAGACCCAGGACCAGGCTCTCTGGCTCCCGGCCTGAAGCTCGCCCCACTGTGCCTGCCGCTGCCCTACGAAGCAGTTTTTCTGGGGGTCTTGGGAAAGAAATTGAAGCACAGAAGTCACCAGATGTGCCCGCCATCTCCCAGCCACCTCCCACCACTTGGTCGGCTCTGTCTGCTGTGCCGGTGTGCAGGGAATGGCAGCTGGGAGGCGGCGTCTTACCTGTAGCAGTGGTGATGCCCAGGAGCCGGCAGGTGTATTCCAGCCCCGTCCAGAACACCTGGAGCTTCATGGTGGTGGGGCTGAGGGCAGAGTCCCAGCAGGGCAGGCAGCAGAGGCTCCGGCCCCAAGATGCTCCCGGACGTCCGTGCGCAGGCAGGAGGCTGTGGCTGCCAGCTGTGGGCCCCCCGTGCCCAGGGCCCTGCCTTTCCAAACCAGTCCTGGCCACCCCAGCCTGGCCGAGGTGTGAACAGGGCTCACCTTCTGGCTTGTCCGCCCGCGCCCTTGCCAGGCAGTCGGCTTAATCATTACCTTGGAAGAATGCCCCCGCTGCTGCTCCGTGCAGCCCCAACCTGGCCTGGAGCCGCTCTGCCCGGCGCAGCCGGAGATGGGGATTAGGGCTGGGCTGGAGGCAGCCTGGAGCTGGCAATTAACCATTTCTGCTGGGAGGAGGGAGCCGGCGAGCCAGCCCAGGCCCTTCCTTACCAGGCAGTGCCTAGAAAGTGACACCTGGACCTCATGCCGGCTGGGGCCTGGGGCGTCAATCTCCGGAGGGGTCGGTGCACTTGCAGGTCTGTGTTTGTGTGCCCGTGGCAGAGAGGGATGTGTCTTTAAATCTCCAGTGGAAAAAACTTTTGAAATGGGTTGCAAGCTTCATTTCTCTGCATACAGGTGGATTAGAAAGCTTTTCAAGCCCGTGGTAGATCTGGACTCTGACCAGAAGAGCTCAGCTCGGGCCACACCACCCAGAGGCCCTCCTTTATCCTTGACGGGAATCCCTGACACGGGACGTGGGAAATCACTTCCATTCTTTGGGAGGGGAGTTGCTATGTCAATAATTAACCGGTGACCTTGGGGAAACCCAAAGGTATCTGTGAGCCTTAGCAACTTTTGCAGAAAATAAATGAGAGATTTTGGCTGGATTGGTGGTTCTCAAAGTATGAGAGTCCTCGGAGCCGTGCCAAGGAACCCAGCCTCCGACACTGGATAATGATGGGCTTTCACTCATTCTTAACTTAATAATTGACATACCGGATTGAATGATGTCAAGATTTAGTTTTCCTCCTGGGTGTTTTTCTGAACTCTTTTACCCCTTTTCTCATACAGGATGGACAACAAAACATCCAAATAAATCAAGACAAAATAAAACCAAACCAATCCTCGACTTACGACAGGGTTATGTTCCGATAAACCCATTGTAAGTTGAAAATACTCTAAGTTAAAAATGTATTTAATACAACTAACGTATCGAACATTGTAGCTTAGCCTAGCTTACCTTAGCCATGCTCAGAACACATACATTAGCCTACCGTTGGGCAAAATCATGAAACAAAAAGACTATTTTATAAGAAAGTATTGAATATGTCATGTAAGAGTATCATACCACATATCGCTAGCCCAGGAAAAAATCAAAATTCAAAATTGGAAGTATGGTTTCTACTGAATGTGTATTGCTTTCACACCATCGTAAAATCGAAATTCATTAAATTAAACATGGTAAAGTCGAGGACCCCTGTAATAATGGAAAACTCAGAAATAGTCAGTTCTGCTTTTTTCTTTCTTGAGGATGACGCACCCTGATATAATGAACAGATATTTTTTGTTATTAAAATTATTTTAATTTGATTGACTAACTCGATCAAGAATTGTGGCAGTCCATAAAGACTACCTTTTTGTAAATATTTTTTACCCTTAAATGAATTTAAGAACCTCTGTGCTCATCTTCAAGATGGAGTTTAAAAATGTGGGACGGGTATTTGTATACACAAGGAGTGCAATGCGCACTACCCGAAGGATGGAACACGGACTTGGGGGGAGGAGAACCAAGGGCAACACACGTAACCTAAACATCTGTACCCCATAATATGCTGAAATAGAAAAAAATGTATGATTTTCATATTTATTTCTTGGGTTAACAGACCGTGTTTGTCTATGAGCAAACTATCCACTCCAACCTTCTCAAACTCTGATGTGTCTTGACACACCCTGCTCCCCAGGCGGGTGTCTGGGTCTCCGCAGCACAGGCCGAATGGCACAGACAGAGCTGCAGGCCGGGCGGCTCCTCACCCTTTAGGAACTCGGCCTTTCTGTGCAGGCGGGAAGCTCCGGCTGGCCCCACGGCAGCCGATTTTGTTTTACATCTGACACCCGCATGCTCAGAAGGTATGGACTCCTCCCAGGCTGGGGTTGGCGGGGTCTGTCCAGTCCAGGGGTCGTGGCCATGACCTCCCCTTCCCAGAGACTGTTTCAGGAATGCGGGTGTGACCCGATTCTGCTCAGACAGCTCCGAAGGGGCATGCGCTGATGCCGTCCGGGAAAGTGTTCTCAGTTTGACGAGGGGTGGAGGATGGGCTGCTCTCCCTCCCTTCGGGTCCGCCGGCTGGGATGGCCGGTGGACTATCTCGCAATGGGGAGGGTCCAGCAAGGGGCATAACTAGCTCACGGCCCAGAGGTGAGCAACACCGGGCACTGGGGGACGTTTTGCAGCTGCTGAACTACCTGTTCCTCGTCATCAGCCGGTCGAGGTAGGTTTCCGGTTACAGCCTGACGGTGGCTTGTGTCTGAACTGAGCTCTCGCCACGGCCTTTTCTGCGGGAGGGTTTGCTCTGTGCGTGGGGCTCAGGCGGGGGCAGACCGAGAACCGGCCAGGCTGAGTTTGGGGCTTCATCGGGGCTGCCCTGCTAAGAGGCATTGAAGAGGGGGCTGCTGGGCTGCTGGTGGAAGGAGACTAGGGCCCGTTGCAAAAGCAAAGTGTGGAGGAACCCCAGAGAAGGCCCCTCTTGAAGAAGCCACAGAGAGGCCTCTGGCAGAGCTGACGCCTCCCCCACCGCCATTAAGCCCATTGGCTGAGCCCTGCGGGGGACGGAGAAGGCTGCCGGGGGCGACATGTTCCTTAGACCTCTCAGAGTTCAGAGAAAAGGGTGCCAGGAACCCTGAAATAGCACTGGCGAGAAAGTGGTGAAGCCCCAGGCATCCAGGCCTGACCTGCAGTCTCTAATGGGCCCCGAGGAAAAAGAGAGGGGCGTTTCCTGCAGAAATCTGTGCCCAGGGCAGCTCCGCGTCTAACAGGCGTGTGCGAGGCAGAGGAGGGGAAGGACAGAGGGAAGGACAGAGAGCCCAGTGGCTGTGAGGGTGTGTGGAAAAGTGCTCTGAGTGGCCGGAAGGGAATCTCGAATTATAGCAGTTTGCAAAGCAGCGTGTGCCCAGGGCCAGCTGCCCTGGATAATGGTGGGACGTGGATGTTACACAAAGAAAACACCATTTCCACGGCATCCCAGGCGTACAAACCCGGGTTAGTGGGCAGAAGTTGGGGGCAGAGTCTTTAGCTCGGAGTAGGGGAAGATGTTTCTGCAAGCGGCTGCCCAGCCATAGGGTGGGCTGCGGGAGGGGAGGACTCCCTGGGGGCCGTGTGGATGCGGGGTGGGGAGGACGCTCTGATGGTTCTCACACACACGACTGGGCCATTCGGACCCGGGGTCTCCCAGTCCAGACATCTGTGATTCCTGAAAGAACCCGGGGAAATGCTCTAAGAAGTGCTGTGAGAAGACAACTTTTGCTGGCTCCCTGGCATACGAAGGAAGGGAGAGGGGAGAGAACTTGGCTTCCTGCCTCGCCTGGCTCCTCTCTGCCCGCCTGCGCGTGGTTCCTGGATGCCCAGCCCGGCAGAGATGCAGTGTGGGGACGGGATGGGAGGGGAGGGAGGGGTGCAAAGGTCAGCTCTGCACTTAGCAGCTGTGTGGCCTGGGACATTCCTTACTCTCTCCCTGTCCTAGTTTCCTTATCTGTAAAAGGGTCTGGAAGGTGTCTTACTGGCTCAGATGCACTGGGTCAAAAGCACCTGTCTAGAGAAGATGCCAGGAAATAGGAGCTACTATTAATATTACAAGGGAGTGAAGAAAACTGCCCACCCTGTGGCTAATCCCGTGTAGGTTTTGTTAGCGCAGGAGTCCACCCACTGAAACGACACCCCAAATCAGGGGCACAGCCTGGGCTCCCGGCCTCAGGGAGAACCACGGTAAAGGGGGCTGTTCTGTGGCATGACGGGGTTCATCCACGGCATTTCTGACCAAATCATTTCCTTTCACTGTACGCTAACCAGAGTCTCTGTGTGTTGGAGCAATAGGAAGACGGTTGATTTAATAAACCTACAATAATCCAAGCCACTTGGCAGTACCATGTCCTGCCTCCGGGTCTTGTGAGAACTAGTGATGGTGCCAACGACTATTATAACAGCTGGTGTTTGCTCAGCATTCACCGCATTGTGCTAAGTGCTATATGCATGACTGTCTTCCTCCTCTTCCCATTTTGCAGATGAGAGAGGGAGCAGAGTCACGTGAGGTCAAGTGCATGTGCTCAAGATCACACGGAGAAGAAGTGAAGTGACGATGAGTCCAGCCAGGTCTCCGGCGTGGCCCCTCTGCTGCTGCCCTGGTTTGCTAGGTGCAGGTGAGAGGAGACCCTCCCAGAAACCCTGGGGTGGGTGCCTCAGGAGGACTTGACATCCTCGCTGCTCCTAGATCTGGGGTGGGCGTGGATTTGGTGAGGGCTCCTGCCATCTTCCCCTGAGGTGGTCCAGGAGAATGAATGCCCCAGCTCTCCCCTGACCCTGGCCTCGCCTAGAGCTTCTGTTGGGAACTATACATGGATGCTTTGCAGATATCCCCAGCCATATGAGGCGGGTATAAATTGTACACTGTGGATAGCAGCAGAGAAATTCCAGACGCCTGGGATGGCTCAGGGGAGCTTGAGAAGTCAAAAGAAGACGAAATGTGGGTATTTGCTAATCTTCAGCTGCTGCGGTGAGGCAGCTTCCACAGAATAGTAGGAAGGTCACTGGCATTACTCAAAGCAAGTGCCTGTGCCTAGACCTGGTGATCTAAGCCTTTGACCCCTGCACCACCACCTCACCCCTTCTCTCAGTGTCAGCAGAAGAAAACAGAGACCCTCCAACCAACACCCTGCAGACCTCCCACATCCCCCTAAGCACACTCTGACCCTTACTGTCCTTCCCTTCCACAGGAGGAAGAGGGGTTCATCCTCTCAACCTGCGCTTTCAACCACTGTGTCCCCTGGGACCTCGGACCATCAGTCATCATCCCTGTCCTGTATCTTCCAACTTTCCCCCACACCTCTCCCCTCCGGACAAATAGAGCCAAGACCAGAGCTCCTGTGCATGGCTCTGCTTTCCCCTGCAAGCCACGTGCAGTTGCTCCTCCATGCACCACCAGGACTTTTGAAAGGGGTCTACACTTACCACTACCTGCCATCATTTCC